CTCACACACACACACTCTCACACACACTCTCTCCTGGCAGATGAACTCTCGTCCACGTCTTCTGTGTGACTGATCTTTTAGTAGAAGCCTCTGAGTTGGTATCAAACTCTCGTTCTTCCTTCGATGATTCTCTCGTCATCGAACAACATGAAAACCTTTATTTATCAATCTGCTCTTATTCGCTCAGAGAATCAAGTCTTCACTTTTCTCTGTCCCGTCTATAAATGTGTATTTTCTCAGGGTCGACCATATTTTCCAGGTTGTGAGAGTTTGGTGCTCGTTCTGTTCACACTGGAATCAGTTCAACTTAGAAACCAAAGGTCGACGGCTGCCTCGAAGCTCCACTCTGTTTCAAACCTTTGTTTCAAACTTGCAGCTTTAAGAAACTTTATCTTCTGTCTCCGTCTCTGGAAGTCGTCCACTGCTGTCTATCAATAGTGTCACAGCTGGTAGTACTGTGTCTACTACGTCCTGTGTTACTGGTTAGAACTGAAACATGCTTCAGTGTCATTACGTTTTGTCTCCGTCAAAATGATCCTTATTCAAAGTGGTCGGTCTATGAGAAGTGCAGCTCGGTGTTATCGAGGTTATTTGCTCATCATGTGGGTTCACACCTGTTTGCTGTTTCCCACAATCCGACAGGAACAAGAACAAGCTGTCCACAGATTCCTCTTCACTGCCGAGTGTTTACTCTTGTGTCGTGTGTTCTTACAGGCGACGCCCTGAAAGTTGCTCTGAAGCATCTTCATCATCTTCATCATCTTCATCATCTTCATCAGTACAAAGTGTTGTTCGTCTCATTGAAGCCTCTCATCAAACTCTCTGTACCGGAACATCCGAGAGCAGCTGACCTCTGACCTCACAGCTGATGGCTCTGTACATTGAATTGATCCGTGAAATCTCACAATGTTAAATAAAACTTCTCTCTAAAACGCTGCGGTCGAGTGATAAACTTTATGTTTGCAGCAGCTTCAGAGCACAAAGTTTACAGGAAACAAAGGTCTTTAACACAAAGCACCAAAATGATGAAGAATAAAATAGCTGCATCTTAAAAAGCTGAAAACTGAGTTCATTTCTTCATCACATATTCAAATTCCAGATTTCTTTTTTCATTTTATTATCAATTGAGGCTCAGCTGCTCATTAAAATCTAGTTCACACTGAAACTAAAACCACATGAGACAAAGAGACTGAAGTTCAGACGGGTAAAGGGTTTGAATCCGACCTCGAGCTCACTTCAGCTCGTTTGCTTGTTGGAAACACTTCAGTAGCTCTGCTGGGATTCTGTCTCACAATATCAGAGTTCCCCTCATCGTCAGAACACGTTGACTGTCAGCGTGACCTAATGATTTAATGGAGCCATTGATTCACTCGGGGAATAATCTCTCATCAATATCCGTAAGTGAGTTTCACTTAAATCCCACACGTGTCCTCAGACTGAGCGATGACCCTGAACTGTTTTCAGGTCATGTGTCTGCAGCTTGGCTCCTTTGTGTGCTGCGTTTTGACACACCTCTATAATTAGTGACCATGAAGTCTGGAATCTGGAGTCGGTCCAACTCGCACACATGCAGGTCTGAATCACAAACCTGTCGCTCAGCACCACTTCACCAACCAAATAAGACAAGTTCCAGTTTTTGTTGCCACCTACTGGATTATGTTGGAACACCTGGAGCGACTTTAAAACGTTTATCCTCATGGAGGAGGATCACAGCCAGCTGATCATTTAGAAATCTAAAAGTCGGAGGTTAAACTCAGAATTAAACAGTTCTAGAAAGATTTCCACATGTTCCCGATCCTCGTCTGTACCGGCTTTATCAGTCAAATATCATATTCTCACACGTGATCTGATCAGGACCAAACGAGGATGTGACGGGAGCTGGACACAGATCAGATCTCAGTGTGGACACATGTGGACCGCAGGTGTGAAAGAGATCAGGTTCACATCTGGATCTGACACCGGTTCAAACGCAGTGGGAATGTTGAATCATGATTTGCAGCCACAGCATCAACGTCGATGAAACGTGAAAAATCCCTTTTTTAAAACATTTTTCAAACGTGATTCAAATCGAATGAAAAGAGAATTTAGAGCACGACACAGAGCGGAAACAGGTTCCTCGTTACAGCTCCTGCTGTGACTCACTCTGCAGCTAGATGGAATTTAAATAGACTTATCATTATCACCTGTGAAAACACACACACACACACACACACACAGCTACTAAAGTTGAATGTGATTTGTGACTCAGTTTTATTCTTCAATAATTAACATTAGTTGTTGCAGGTGAACATTTGGACGTCTTTACCGTCCGTCCCTCTGTCCTCTACCTGGAAACTGCAGTCACAGTTTTTTGTCTCGTCCTCAGACGTTGTCCCTCTAATCATGAGCAGTGAGTTCCATCATGTGTCACAGCACGAAGACATTTTCTTCATTTATCAACATGTTTCGGAGTTCATCCCCCCCCCCCCTTTCTTCCCGCTCCCATTCCTAGCTCATTAAGGTGAGGTAGCATGAAGAGCCTGCAGGGGGAAGGCTACGCATTATGAATTTA